TGTGCCCACGTCTCTCGACAGATGGAGGCGTGCCTGCCCCTTTGGGACGTGTCACTCGACCAAGCGGATAGTACACTGTAACAATCACCTGCGCAAACCTGGCAGGTAACGGCTGCAGCAGGAGCCCAGTGGCGGTTATGCCCGATCTCGCAAGAGCGCTCCTATAAAAGCCCCCAGGGCAGAGGAGAAACCTCTCTCGAGACCTCCAACTTCTCGAATATAGTGATAAGCGCAACCTCCACTCTTAGCTTTCATTTTGCCCTATTTACTTCCATACACAGTACTAACTTAAGCATCGGAGTATTCCCACCGGGCAAACCCCCGGGAATCCTTCCTTTCGTCTTCTCAGGTGCCGCTCGTTGCCAGCAAGGAGCCTGTCAACCGCCAGCTAGGAGTGCCCGGATTCGCGCCGCATCAATAATATATGACTCTATTAGATACATAGAGTAACAGAGATGCTTTGAATATGAATTGACAGGTTGCAGTAGACCAAACCTTCATGTAGTTTAACCATGAAAACAATGACTAAAATGAATAAATTGCTGAAAAAAACTATCTTTTCTTTGGAGATGAGATGCCTTACTTCTTTCAGCACATCAATGTTGATTTCAGACTTCATCAGAGAATCCTCAGCACATGGTTTGATACAAGTTGTTCTCAAGCCACCCTGCCTATTAATCTTCATTTGTGATACTGCCGTAAATTGTCTACTATCTACTCTAATTGAGCGGGTTTGGACATTGTTCATGTTCAAATAATATAACATGGTTTGCCCATAGTCATCATCCCCAAGCTTACCCATGAATGTGACCCGGCCACCCAAGCTTGCAAGAGCCACTGCAACATTGCTTGAAGACCCTCCAGGTGCTCTTACAAATTTTTTGGGGGCCCACAATGCATCATTCATACTTTCATGGATCTCATGGTCTATTAATCTGTTGGATGGCCTTCCAGAAGGTACGAATGCATGTTGAGCAGCTCCAAAGCAGCAAACAAGAGGGGGCCAGTCATATGTGAAGCTAATATCATCCTCCCCCTCTTTTCCAAATTCTATGTCATCCTCCTTTTCACTCACGGGAATTTCATTGAAAGTTGGTCCCTCATGATCATCGGGTTCTGATTCACTGTCTTGGTCCTCTGTTTCATTGACCTTCTTCTTAGCCTTGCTTCGCCTACTCACTTTCTTATCAATGTTTTCTCCCTCTGGGCTAGTATCAACATAAGCAGCTGTATGCCAAATACAATTGGTAATCAGTTGTATCTTTTACAGTTGAAATACTACAGTAAGGGAATAGACAAAACAAATGTTTAGAAGGATCTAAACTGAAGATAGACAAGGGATTACCTTTCTTTCGGGTTCTTCTTGGGGTCCTGTTAGAATCTTCAATGGGTGTAGATGGAGTAGTGGTGATTTCTTCGGTAACATCACTAGCCACCGATAAAGAGTTCTCTTTTGGAACCTCTGATGTTTTTTTCTTTCTACTTCGTCGAGGAGATAGTGTTGTGGTGCTTTTCTTCTCTGTAACATCGCTAGCTGCTGATAAGGAGTTTTCCATTGGAGTCTTAGTTGTTTTTTTCTTTCTATTTCGTCTAGATGGAGTAGCAGTGCTTTCCTCTTCTGTAACATTACTAGCCATTGACGTAGAGTTCTTTTCTGGAACCTCTGATGTTGTTTTCTTTCTACTTCGTTTAGGAGACGGAGTGGCAGTGCTTTCTTCTTCTGTAACATTACTAGCCACTGACGTAGAGTTCTCTTCTGGAACCTCTGATATTGTTTTCTTTCTACTTCGTCTAGGAGCTCGTTTAGAAGTCTTTAATGGGTTTTCAACAGCATCACCTACTCCACTTAATGCTTCTTGCACTGTAGATTCAGCAGCTTTTTTCTTGGATAGAGCTCTAAGATCCCACCTTTTTTTCTGCAATCTAAAACCTGGAAGTTGAACAGAGTTTGGTGGAGAGAGAACAGGAAAATTTGGAAGCCACCTGCAAAATATAAAAAATAAGACCATATGAGATGAATGTATATGAAATTCCTTGAACACTGAACATTTTTTGCATGGATTTTCAGACTTTTATCTTCTAAACCAAATAGGAACTTGAAACCCCTTTTCAATCGCAATTGAGCAAGAAAGCAAAGACAAATAAAAACTACTAACCCTCTTGTTTAAACCCCTCACCCTCCTGATCCCCCCAGCCTCCCCCAGCGGGGGGTATCCACACAAACCTCATGCCCAAAATTCCATCGTTCGAACATTCCAGCGTAAATCCATATATATGTTCAGTTAACAACTGGACTGTAATCAACAGAGACAAACGGGAATATAAATTCCAAATTCTTTCTTTTTTTTTTCTTGGGGAGAAGGTTAGGGATGGTTAGAGGTTGAACTTCAATTCTGTTACGGGATAATTCCGGAAGATTATAAGGTATGCCCCTGATATTCTTATTACTCGTAGTTCAAATATTAACAACAAAAGGAGAAAAAAAAAACTGTCATTGTATTATACCCCAAATAAAAGTCATTGAAACATGACAATGGAGAAAGCTTCTCCGCTTTCAGAATAAAAAGATAAACACATGGAACCCATCAATTTATTCCTTCAACGAGAAGACTTCAACATGAAAAGGTGGAATTTTTCTGCTGCTTCAAAAAGATATGCAGCAACAACAGTAAATCAAATACCAAAACTTAGAAAAGAATTGTAGGATAAATGAGTTGGAGAAGAGAAGACCTGGGCAACGGAAGAGAGCGCGTAAAAGAGAGGGACGCCATTGAAGGAGAACTCGCTCTGCAACTACAGAGATTGAAGTTTATCTTAGCCATTAGCGGGTCAGTGTGCAGTGGGCAAGCGAAGATGGCAGGCTTTATGAACTCAAAATACTCTTCTAAGTTTTAACAAATTCCATATGCCTGAAATACCACTGTTTTTTATATAAAATTACTAAATATCATTATAATTAGCTTTTACGTTTCAGAGATAGTTAATAACTTGTTATTAGTAATTTATCAAAAAAAAAAATCTTGTTATTAGCTTCTTTTAGAGTTGAATCAAATTAAGCTTCAACTAATTAACTACTACCGCACATTAAGATTTAAGAAATAACTTTTATCTGACCAAAAAACTGAATATCTGTTTTTCCAAATGGAGGGATATGGGTAATTGCATAAAAATTTGATTAATACATGAAAAATATTCAAAACCTTATCTGTTGCAAATAACGGGAAAACGTGGGGCAATTCTAAAAGACTTCACGTGAAGGAATGGTCTAAAGGCCTAAACCCGTAATTGCATTTCTTGCAACTAACATGTTTAGACTGATGATTTAGCAATGGAGATTTCGCACACTGAAGCTGTAGGTAGGGGGTTCTCTTCTCATCTTTTTCTCTTGTTCTTCCCCATTTTTTATTCTTTGGTGTCTAAGGGCTCTTTTCTTTTTCTTTTTTTTTTTTCTTTTTTGTTTTGAGATTGTTATTTGATTCATTGTTCTCTTTGATGAGGAACATCGTCTTCTTAAGCTGGGTTATTCGTACTGTTGTTTTATTATGGTAAACATGACAGCTTCTTGGTTTACTTAGGTTTTTCTCTTTTGTTGGTTGGTATGGTATTGTTCCTCTCTGTGTGCATATTTGTAGATCGATGGATTTGTTGGCATTGGTCAATGTAGCAGCTGCAGAATTGCTGTTTTTTTAATTGAGAGCTTGTAGTTGATGTTGGGAAATTGGGTAAAGTTTATAGATTTAAATTTCGTTGCTAATTTTATTTCTAATTGTTGACAATATAGTTATTATGCATTTCTGTTAGGATCTCTCATTCAATATATGATTCCACAGAATAGTAATTAGTAAATAGTCCTGTAGGATTATACTAAATTTTAGTTAAATATGTTGAGAGAATTTTGTGTGTGTGTGTGTGGTTGGGCTTGTTTTTGTTTCATAGAGAGGCGGGTTTCCAAATTGGGGATATTTCTAATTTTCTATGCTGCTATAACTTTATAAGGTTTTTAAACCTGCTCGAGATCAGTGAGAGTTTACTAAACTACAATATAGGGGAACGGTTATTTCTAATGGACTTTTAATTTGTTATTGAGGTTGCTGAATTCTTTGTTGTAGCTTAGAAGGTGGATGAATGTAGTAGACAAAAAGGAGAAGAAATAAATTGAATAACTGAAAAGGAGAACTTAGTGGTAATAAGCAGCCCCATATCTTGTTTCTGTGGCAATGTGATTCCTCAACGGCCTGGCTTGTCTAATGCTTGGATTCATTATTAGTTGAGGGAACATAAGTGGAAGTTATCACTGGTTGAACCTTGGAGCTCTCTTTAGAGACTTCTTCATCTTATAGGTTACATAAATACAAGGGAAGTTAGAAGGTTTATGTTTGCAGGGGCTCAAACTGAAGGGACAGATAATCTAACATTTGGCTTAGAAGGCATTATTGAGTGATGATAATTTCAAAGGTTTTGTGCACTGCATCAATTTCAGGTTAGAAATTTTGTAGTTCTACTGCCAAACCAATCATCTCCATGTGAAGATATCAATATGTATATCAATGAAACAACATTAGCTATAAGGTGCTAGAGGATGTCAAATTTTGTTGCAGATGCTAAATTGAATTTATGATTAGAGCAGAAATCAGTATTAGGTTTGGAGAATATTGACATATAGAATGTTGTTTTTATTGACATACGAAATCCATAATAAATTGCAACACTATATGTCATTTTAGCATTAAATTCTCAACTCAGCTTAGATAAGCTCAGCCTTAATGCCTACCATTTGGGGTCAGCTAGATGAATACTGTCGCACCATTGTGCTTTATCAAGAGCTATGCTTTTCCATTAAGTCTTTAAATCATTTTTGATCACTTCAGACCATGCATAGTTAGTGTTGGGGATGTTGGTAATCTTCATTTACTGATACGAATTGCTAGAACTCAAGTATCACAGTTGCAGGTAATCATTGGAAAGATTGCAACTTTTCTGGTGAAAGAACTTATGTTTTTCTTTTTTTTTTGATTGGTATTCTTATGCTGTCTAAATTAGAAAAGAGAAGAGAAAAATGTTACTCTCTTCTTAAACTCCCCAACAATTTATGGGAAACAGTGGATACCTTATAGTTGATCTTTTTTTTTTCATTATTGAGATCTTAAACTCAGCACAGCCATCATAATTTTTAAGATTTCCAACTGAACAATCACTAATGACATTACATGGTACCATAGCATTACCAGAAAATGTACTTGCAATGACATTTGGATTTGGGTTAAAGGTATTTGAGTAAAATTGACAGGTTATAGGCTTATAGCTATTTGTAATCCTGAAAGATGTACATCGGTACTTTATTTTCTCCATAATCCAAGAGAGTTGGACTTTAACCCAGCAGGAACAGCTTGAACTCAGGAGGAACAACCCTACAATTATGAAAAATTGATTTCACTGAGAAATTCAATGTCAAGGTAATGGAGAGCAATTATTCGATTGAACTTGCTTCATTAGGAAGTTGATATTTTGAGTGCAAAGGAGACGCTCGTATGAGCTCGAGTTTCAAAATGATAAAATGTGAAGGTGTTGATTGTCAGTGTTTTCAGATCATGGTGATAAGAGTTATAGGTTTTTTTTTTTTAACCCGTGACTATTATTAGACTCCTATGAGTGCTAGATGTAGGAATATCCATGTTGGATTATTAGCTCCTTTATCTTTTTCGATGGTTTTGTGTAGACTTTTTTAAATGGTAAAGTATTTCACTAATATATAGAAAAAACTTCTGTAACTATATACATCAGGACCCATATAAACAAAGGCTCTGTATAGAAGAGCAGATTATACAAAAGAAATATATAAATAAATAAATATATATATATATAATATATAATCAGTTTCTTACAATAAGAAAGGATAAAACTTGAAAAAAGACAAGTGGGAGACTTCCTCAAAACTCCTTTGCATGGACAAGCAAGATCTTAACTTCCCTACAACTCTTTGGAGAACCACCTTTTTCAGGGCTAACCTTGTTTTCATATATGTGAATCTCTTTCTTGACATGTCCAAAAAAGCAGCAAATGGAATCATAGATCAAAGAGTTTTACTCTCTTATTTAAACTCTTAAGTTTCCAGCTATTAAAGAGGTCTTGCAATCCTTGTGATCTGAAAAAATACCCAGGAAGTTAAATGGAAAACTTATGAAAGATGATTGATTGATGCTTATGGCGACCCTCTTGGTGCCTTCTTCAGGTTACATCCAATTAAAGCAGTAAGCAGTTGTTAATTTTATGCTCTTTTTATCATGATTTTAGTTTAGCTTTTTAATGAGCAGGATTTTTCACTCCAAATGTAGGCCTCTCCAATGAATAGGCTGGACTTAAAATTAAAAGCCCAACTACATGAGTCTGACAAAAAAAATTAGGTTATTTACACATTAGGTTACTTAATTTGTATCTCTCAAATACATATAACTGAAAATGTTTTACTAATCATTTTTCCATAGGATCAACCGAACAACAAATGATAATTTTTCTATTAAATGGATTTCTATTTTCCAGAAAGCCATTTACAGAAAATCATTTCTTTTCTTTGTTTCCATCCAACCGAACAGATCATCAGTATTTTCACGTTCCTCATCTTACCAATACAATCTAAAACACCTAAAGTCTTCATGTTCTGCTTAAATATGTTTTAATTATCTCTGATTTTCTGGAAGGTGGTGCAGTTAGCAAGCCATCTGTGTCTGTGAATAAAGTTCTTTTTTTTTCTTTGGTTAACTCCTTTGTTTTTGCATCCTCAAGTTGGGTATTACATGATCTTTAATACATGTTATTAATTGTATCAGAAGAAAATTAGTTAATGTTTGAGTTAAATGCATTATTTCCAAAGAGAAAATAGCAGTACTGAGCCAACTTTGAATTTCAAACAATTTATAGGATTGTATGGGCATTTGGCTGTGTATACCCCTATATACAGCAGCTTGTTGTACATGTTTTTGTTTTTTGTTTATGAAATTATATTTCACCCTTACTCAAAAAACTTGAATTTTAAACTCCTATTACTTTTGTTTCAGGACTCAGAGAACCACTAGCAGCATGAATATTTTCAAGCAAATAAATCCCATTAAACATGGGTTTAAAGGAATCATCAAGTGTTCCAGGGGTAATCTCCATTCTATTTTAATGATTGGGTGTATATTAATGTAAATTAAAATGTGATGGTATCAGACACCTAGACCTTGGAAAGCGACTCTAATGCATCTATATTATCTTATTACACTGAGTCAATACAATATGGAATTTTTAGCAGCAAGCCTACTTGATTGCAAGGTGCCATTTTACTGATTGCAAATCATTTCTGAGGCAATAGTCAGATGTGCAGGACACACCAGTTGTTGGGTTCCATATCATTAGATGGTATAGTCATGAGTTATCTGAAGGTGGTAGATTTTGTTATAAGAGATCTGCAGATGGGAGGGACCCATCAAATGGTGAGGTATGTGAAATGAAATTTTGATTCCAATGTTGTCTATAGATTTTACTGCATGATAACATAATATGCATATAGCCATCAGAAGTGCTTGTTGATTTATTGACACAAGGCAAATGAAGTGATGAGGCATATGCAGTGGAATTTTCACTCCAGTTTTCTGTTTATAGAAAACACTACATGATAATATAAGACGAAGAAGATCATTAACAGTTAGTAAAAATATTGAAATAAAGCAATCTTAGAAAGCAAAAACAGAGATTCTCCAAGCTATTCTCATTAGGTTTTTATTTTCTTCCATTTTGCAGCAATATCTCCATTCCTCCATTTGTCTTCAGATACTGCAGTGGAAGTCCATGCTCCAGAAGTAGTAATTGCTTTGGGAAGCAATGTGGGTGATCAACTTCATAATTTTAAATTTTAATGAAGCTATATGGTTGATGAAGAAGTCAGGGATTCAGATCATAAGACATGGGTGTTTATATGAAACAGAGCCTGCATATGTGACCGATCAGCCACTCTTTCTCAACTCTGCAGTTAGAGGAGTAACAAAACTTGGGCCCCATGAACTACTGGGTGTGCTTAAGCAAATTGAGAAGGATATGGGCAGAACAGACGGGATAAGGTATGGCCCAAGGCCAATTGACTTAGATACATTGTTTTATGGGAAGTTCAATGTCAATTCTGAGATTCTTAATGTTCCACATGAAAGAATTTGGGAAAGACCCTTTGTAGTGGCCCCACTAATAGATCTACTTGGTTCTGCCATAGACAGTGATACAGTTGCAAGCTGGCATTCTTTTTCAAAACAAACTGGAAGACTTTTTGAATTATGGAAGAAACTTGGTGGTGACTTTCTTATTGGAAAGGAAGGATTAAGGTGAGTTTTACCCATTGGAAATCAGTTGTGGAACTGGTCAGGGAAAATCATGTCATGGATGTTCTTAACCTGACTCCGGATAGTTTCAGTGATGGGGGAAAGTTTCAGTCTGTAGAGACTGCAGTTTCTCAGGTATGCCTGATGCTCTCAGAAGGGGCAGATATTATTGATATTGGTGCACAATACACACGCCCATTTGCTTCTAGGATTTCAGCAGAAGAAGAACTAGATAGATTAATACCTGTACTAGAAGCTGTTCTGGAAATACCAGAGCTAGAAGGGAAGTTCTTATCTGTGGATACTTTTTACTCAAAAGTTGCATCTGAAGCAGTCAATAAAGGTGCTCATCTTATCAAGGATGTGTCTGCTGGGCAGTTAAGACTCCAGCACGCTTAAGGTTGCTGCAATTCTAGGAGTTCCTTATGTTGTAATGCGTATGAGAGGGGATCCATGTACAATGGAGAATAGTGAACATCCATAATATGAAGACCTTTGTAAGCAAGTTGATTCTGAGTTATCTTTTCAGGCTAGAGAAGCAGAATTAGGTGTGCCAACTTGGAGGATTATTATTGACCCTGGAATTGGATTCTCAAGGAAAAATGAACACAATTTAGAAATTCTCATGGGTCTACAAACCATTCGAGGAGAGATTGCAATGAGGAGTTTGGCCATTTCTCATGTTCCATCTTGATTGGACCTTCCAGAAAGAGGTTTTTAGGTGAGAATTGCAATCGTCCAGATGCCTCTGATAGAGACCCTGCAACTGTTGCTGCTGTCACTGCTGGGATTTTGGGTGGTGCAAACTTTATAAGAGTACACAATGTTAGGGATAACTTGGAGGCTGCAAGGCTCTGTGGTGCCTTGTTGAAGCAGAAAAGGGCCATGCATGTAGATGTTGTATAATATTGGTTTATTGAGCTAGCTGAGCTGCCATCATCTCCATCTAGATAACTGTCATTTTTTTTACCATGATTATGTATCTACCACCCATTGTTATTCAATCCTTTGTTAATGAGACAGCCTTGGTTTTGATGGCATGTAGAAACCAAGCCAGGAGATGTAAAATATGTTGATTTATTGCAGACAACAGTGCATTTGAAATTACTTTTGATAATTCACTGAACCTGAAACAAGAAATGGAAATTATTGCAATTTGGTTTCTTTCTCTTACAATTTTTTGTACCAAACCAGTTGAACCCAATCTGCTTACCTTTTTCAGTATCCGGTTCTGTTCCTTGAGCACATGCTTCTCTTGATGATATTGGTCTTTTTTTCCCTGGTACTCTATTACACTCGCTTCTTCAAGATTATGATTTTTTGTGCACTTATAACACCTGTAAAAGCAATTTCTATGTATGACTACTGAGTGCATCTTTGCTTGTGATTAAGTGACTATGTTTGAATTTTTGAAATTTAAGTTGTAGTACCTACGAATGGTTGATTCAAGCTTCAGGGGGTTAACCTCTACTACCTCTTCCTTCTTTTAGCATGAGAAAAAAGTGGGTAAACAAAACCTTACTGTTTGTTTCAACTATCAAGTTGATGGGGCCATCAAGTAGTTTTGTTATCTTTTTGTGTTCCAACGATAGTATTATTCCCAATCAGAATTTAGATCCATGGAGGAATCAATTTTTCTCTTTACCCTTTTCATATAGCTCAGTTCGGAAAGAGTACAAATACAAATATGTAGTAGAGTGCGAAACCTTGCATTTTGTATGTATTTGTACTGTATTATTTGTAGTTGTACTCTTCCCAAACTGAGCCGTAATAAGAATAGAGGGATCGCATCTTATTTTCTATTTTGGCAAAGGTATCTCATTTTATCTTCAGTGGCTCTATATTTCTCCTGAAAACATTCCTTTGTTTATTTTTAACCGATATGAGTTCTTTGATAGCTGTGAAGCCTTTTTTATTCGGTACTGATGGAGGGAGATTTGGCCCGACCCTTTGGCCACGCAACACGTGGAAGCAACCGAGAGTGACCTAGAAGAAGCGCCAGCTCGGCACGGCAGCGGACCCACAACCCGAGCTCCGAGAAAAGGAGTCTCGAGCTCCCCCAAAAAAGGAACCCACGACCCGAGCTCCCCAAGGAAGAACCCGAGCTCTCCCTTGGAGGTCCTGAGCCTTACAAGGAGTGCAAAGGGCAAAAACCCGAGCTGACCCACCCCGGGGCAGTTCGGGCCACACTTTTATCCGAACTCAAGACTTCACCTCGCGCACCACTTCGGCTCCAAGTCGCCTAACTGAACAACCATACCTGACGCCCAGGAAGCCCGTATACGGAGGTGGCGCGCCTGACTGATTAGGGGTCCGACACATGACAGCCGCCCTCCAACAGCCACCCGCCACCGCCATCTCAGACGTGGCAAAGACGACCCTGACAAGGAAGACAGTGGTGGTTATGACACCCGAACTGGCAACTGGCAGAGGTTATGACACCCGAACTGGCAACTGGCAGAGGTTATGACACCTGAACTGGCGTCTGGCAGAGATGATGACACCCGATCTGGCGGAGGTGATGATGCCCGATCTGGCAGAGGTATGGGAGTGAGTGTAGCAGGGTGATTATAAAAGGCCCCCTTCCCCCAAAGAAGGAGGTATGTGATTCTTGTGCTTTCTGGTCTTGAAGTCCCTCATTCCCCTTGCCTTCTCAAGAGCACTAACTTGA